CTTACAGTGTGGACCGAGAAGACGAGGTTAGTAAGACATATCTCTACTGTGTGTACGATGCATCAAATGTATTCCGTTCACACTACGCCGGAGAAATTTTGAAAACGCAACAATCACCGGTCATTTTGAATTTATGTTTGAGGAAAACTCAGGCAGGAAAATCACATCTTTATCGTGATGTCATCGCCTTGGATAAGTTTCGTTTTCAAAATGTTTTCCGTCCACACGAAAATGTTCACAAATTACAGCCAGTGTTTCCAAATTCCTGCGGTTTGAAAACCGTTTTCGAAATGCTACGAGCGTTTCGAAAACGGGTCGTTTTCGTGACGGATTAGTGTGTACAGTAGGCCTAACCGTAGAAATAAAGCTGCGTTTTCAAATTTCTCCGGCGTAGTGTAGACAGGGCCTAATGTATGGGCATTATTCTGAAGGAAAATTAAATTACTCAGACAAGCTTGGGATTAAAGTATTATCAGTCGTACCTGCAACCAAACTAACGTTGTTAATCATCTCATCCTCGGGGTTCTCGCCAAACAAACTGGGCTTCAGTTTCTTGTGTTCAATCTTACGGTCCCTGTCATGGACCTCAACTTGAAATTGGGGCCCCTGGAGATACTCCGCAAGACCACCCTTATCTAATGTTCCCAGAAGGACCACATTCACATCCTCCCAGAAGACATCACTGCCGTGGTCTCGCCCAACACTCGCATGAAGGGGCTGTTTATAGAACTGGTATGACACATGTACAGGCTTGCATCTGTGATAAAGAAAACGTCTGTGAATGATGATTCTCAAACTCGTTAATGATTCATCAAGTTAAAACAAAGAAAATCACAACCGTGAAGGAGATTTGGATATCCCTAACCCTGTCTTAATTAGCATGGATTTTGACGATTTTACTTCCCCGTTTACTCCTTATTTTTGGTTTCGATTGAGAAGATATATCAAACACTCGAGACAGTGTTTCATCGGAATATCCAAACACCTCGAATTTCGTCAAAAATACTCCGTTCCACGTCGTATTTTCGACTCTCTCAACCCTCTCAACCCTGAGAAACGTTGTTAAAAGAGTAGAGCTCTGTCAATTCAAACACAAAAATGCATCAAATATTCCAAAATTTTTACCCAAAAATTGGCCAAAATAATATTGACTTGGGAAATTTGACCCGTAGGAAAGTCTCCCTCTGGCTCTGCACGTGGGAGAATCCCAGATAATCTGGAAGAGTTCGCATAGATCTTATTTACTATTTATTTATTTATTTATTTATTTATTTATTTATTTATTTATTTATTTATTTATTTAAAACATAAGCAAGCGAATATTAGAAAGTCAATAGCCAACGTTTTGGTGTCTTTGTGAAACCATTTTCAAGGCAAAGTGATTTGAATGCCTAATTAAGGAGAAAACTTAAACCATCGCTAAACATGCAAACAGAGTCAATTCTCACAAAGGTAATCACTTGAACAACTCGTGATCCTTTGTTATTATGCTAATTTGTAGAGACTGCAAAAGTATAGAAATCAAATCTTCGCATTAATTTATTCACTTTGCCCTGAGAATGTTGTCACGATGACGCCGAAACATCGGCTATTAGCTTTGATATTCACTTGCTTATGTTTTAAGACATCATTAATGATCAAGATTTATTTATTTATTTATGTATTTATGCATTTATGTATTTATGTATTTATGTAGTTATGTAGTTATGTAGTTATGTAGTTATGTAGTTATGTAGTTATGTAGTTATGTAGTTATGTAGTTATGTAGTTATGTAGTTATGTAGTTATCTATTTATCTATTTATCTATTTATCTATTTATCTATTTATCTATTTATCTATTTATCTATTTATCTATTTATCTATTTATCTATTTATCTATTTATCTATTTATCTATTTGGGGAGGAGGGGGAAGATCCTTATTTACACGTACAAATTCACATATATCAGAAGTCTTGCTTACTTTTCTCTCAGCTGCTTATATGTCAGAGGTTTGTTGGGAAGCTCACTTGCTGATGAAACCCTGATAACCATGGGGTTCAACTCTTTCTTCTGACGTTCTGACAGAAGATCATCATCAAGTGACACAGAAAGCAGCAACTCCTCGATGTTTCCTGCAGGCTTGCCTAACTTGGTGGTGTTTGATTTTACTCCAGAGAAGAATGTGTACATCTTCACAGAAAGTGTGGCCGTGCCATGGAGTTTTTTATGAGCTTCTGCTAATACAAGATCCTTCTTGGAAGAACTTGTCTTTGTATGTGAAGCCTTCTTTTCTGGAAATGAGCAAATAAAATTTCTCAATTTTTCAATTGAAAGTCTAATGAATAATGTAACTCCAACAACTAATTACCCAACAAACAAACACACAAAGAAGTAAACAGTTAAATCAAAACCGCACAACTCTTTTTCGGCAACTCGAAATAGGTTAGGACTTTAGAGTGGGTATTACATGTATGCCAGCACCCAGACCACAGAACAGCACTCTCATACATGAACCGCAACAGTGAAGGAATATTAATTGAAATACATGCAGGTTTGTGTACCCATGGTCAGGAGAGGTCCAAGAAATACATGTAGAAAGCAAGCATGGACTCACTAGAGTTGGCTGAATAATACAATGTACAGCTAATTTGTGCAAGAAAAACAATTGGGTGGAGTAGAGGCATTAGAGAGCAATACCAGGGGCCAGAAACCCCAAATAAATGCAGCTACAGTACATGTAGTTCTGTGCTAATTGCTACAGAGACTCAACCTGGAATAGTTATTGCACGCTGTTCAAAAATACACACAGAAAGTAATGATCTCTACTTACTTGTGCCATCAGACTTCGAGGGAGACCTCTCTCTACGCGACTGTGATCGTAGTTGCTTTTGCTCTGCACTATGAAGGTCAGCCGCCGTCATCGGTGGAGTGACACCAGCCAGGGTTGCTAAGCGACTGAACTGGGGTGTTTCTTGTTCACCAACTCGCACTTGAACTTTCACCATACTGGCAAAACCAGTAGCGGTTGAGGGACTTGTGGTTAAAGATTGAGAGCGAAATGTCTGTTGGCAAATAACATAAAAAATGCAAGGGTTTAGCATTACCTGAACAGGTATTTCAATTTGGCCCTGGGTAAAGGGAGGGGGGGGGACTCTCATATGAAAAGGTCAGAATGCTTGTTGCCTTGTTAAGGGATGAAATCACAGATTTTGGTCTCATGTTCAGGACGAAAGGCCACTAATTTTTAGCTGTCTAGGCATCTTTTAAGTTGCCATAGTGTAAAACCACTGTCATTTCTGGTGTCTGTTAGCGGTCAAATAAAGCTTGAATCATGACCAGATTGGTCTCCTT